TCCCTGCCCATGGCAGGGGGGTTGGAACTAGATGATCTTTGAGGTCCCTTCCAACCCAAACCATTCTATGATTCTATGATTTGTATTATTCCCTCAAGGTTGTTCACTAAGATTGAATAAGACAAGTCAAAGAACAAGTTAAATCTTACTTTGAGTAATGTAATCTGTACATAATCACAACTTTTTTATTTTAATAGAGGTATGCAATAGTTACTGTAGTGTTATCTCACTACAAGCGTATTCAAAACTGTTTCAGTATTACAGTATTAAAATTTTTTCTAAAATCAGAAAAATTCAAAACATACCTTAATAAGATTATTCATATCTGATTTCCATGAACTTGCTTCCTAAAAAGATAGAAGAGCTGTTGAAAATTATCTAAAGATAGATCTGTCAAGGTAAAAATCTAGATACTTGATCAATTTAAATGGACACAATGAATTAATTCCTTGTGAACCACTAAATCTCACTGCATGCTTCTTTTGGACTAGAGCACCACCACCTGTTCCATCTCAACCTATCTCAGTTCACTCAGGCCTATCATTTGCTTGTATGACAAAGTCAGTGGTCATTTCCCCCCAGCATTTATTTTCTTACTCTATAAATCTCTCAGTGATGAGAAGTCAATATCTAGGTATCTAAATAACTCCACATTTGCTGAAGTCACTCAGAGGGTGGTGAGGCACTGGAACAGGTTGCCCACAGAAGTTGTGGATGTCCCATCCCTGGAAGTGTTCAAGGCCAGGTTGGATGAGGCTTTGAGCAACCTCGTGTAACAGGAGGGTGTCCCTGCCCATGGCAGGGGGGTTGGAACTAAATGATCTTTAAGGTCCCTTCCAATCCAAACCATTCTATGATTCTATGATCATCTCTGTCTTCCTATTGACCTTTTCTGTAAGAAAAAGAAGAGATTTGAAACCATTTATGTCAACTGCGTCTTTCTCACCTGCCATTCCTTCTCCCATCTTCTCCTGCTCTGTTGCATATGCTAAGGTATGTTACCCGATTAAGTTTTTAGCAATAGTGGTAAGCAAATATTTGCAACATAAACAGGGCACATGGCATCTGTTCTCTTACTACTAAGAGCAGTTAAATGTGCAATCCACTAATGTGCTACAAAATCTATGAAACAATTTCATCAACTATACTACAAGAGATGACAGATGAAGCCACATTTTCTGTACACAGCAACAAATAACTGGCACGTAATACAAAATATTTTTAGGGAAACATGCACGCTGAAACCTTCAACCACAGAAATGAACTAACACAATCAAAGCTATTATGCTCCAGTCAATTCACAAACCTGTGAATTTTCATCTTTCTTCTTTCCCACTGCATATATTTACAAGAACAGAGAGGACCACAGCAGACAGACTAAATGATCAGGTATACCTTGCTTCCACATGGAATCAGGTTAACAAACAGACAAAAGTTTCGATTTTCAAAAGCCAGAGACAAGCTACATGTTCCTGCACAGAACCATTTTAGCACCAAAGGTACAAAATCATGAGCATGAGAAACAATACAATGATATATACCAGGCAATTCTCTAGAAACAGCACTCTTTACAAAAAGGAAATGGCAAAATGAGAAAGGAAATCGCTTAAGTCATCCCTAAAGTTGACTGCACATAAGTAGAACACTGTTCTTTCCCAAATGGGAATGTTACATCAGCTCTGTACCTCTGCTGTCACAGAAAGGCAGCCAGCAGAAAACAGGCACTGAAAATATCTGAAACAAACAAATAAAACACCTTTTCTTTTTTTTTTTTTAACCTGTTTCATGTTTGGTAGAACAGCAGTAAGAGCTTCTACAGCCTAGTCCATTCCACACTCCTTGAGACATCATTACTCAGGCTCAAAGCACCCAAAGCCCTTCCACACACAAAGACTGTAATATTTCAAGCAACTGTAAAAACAAATGCCTGTCTTTTTACAGAGGTAGAAGCAAGGGCAAAATTTTTACCAATACCAGACCTCCAAGATTTTCTCCACACTTTTTATTCCCTTTATTCAAACTCTTGGTCATTCTGATAACATGGACTTCACCTGTAGCATGTCACGCATTTCTCTTCTCAACTGGCCAAGATCTTGAATTAAATCATCCGCTTTTTTCACCGTTTTCTCAATTGAATTGCAATTTTGGAAGGAGCTCTCAAAAGCAGGGAATGAGCCTGTATGCAAAGCAGAATGCCTGATGGGAGAAACACTCTTGATTAACACAGCTCCTCATGTGGCCAAAGAAAGTAGCCAATTTTGAAACTGAGCATGAATTTAAAGTTCAAGAATACCAGACCTTTATATAAAATGGAATTTGCTTTTTCACCTGAGGTTTAAGACAGGTTATTGGGTTTTCTCTGTTTACTACTTAACACCTTCAGCTGTATCCCTCTATTTTGAACAGTGAAACTACATCTAAAATTCAGATCTAACAGAGCAACATTTAAAGTTTGGATACCCTTCCCTTTGAAGCAATTAATATTTTTGCCTATAGTATCATAAATAAGACAGTATCCATGTAGCTGTTTCTAATTATATTAGCAAAATTACGACATCGAATTATTGCCTGGGGAAAATACGTTTCAGACTCGATGGCTAAGAACACTTCCCCACCCATACTAAAGCTTAGAAACTGGTAGGCTGATGCTGCTCCTTCCCAACAAAGTGTTCTCATTCAGCTCCCAGAAGCAGGCAGCTTGGAGTCTCACTAAGAAAGGCAATTCCACTTTAACACAATGCCTGTAGAGCTGGTTTCCTGACACCACTCCCCAAGCTGCTACAATAGAAGAAATACACTCAGAAGACAGAAAAGCACTCCAAGTGACACCCACCGACCTCTGAGAATGTTATGAACCATCCTTAGCAACGAGCTTTCATCTAACTTCAGCACAAGAGAAATGGAGAAGTAGCTCAGAAATACCAGTGCTCCAGGGTTTTACTTCAAGCGCAGCTTCGTCAGACTCAAGGACCATGCCAGTGACTCTAGTACACCATCAGTATCTAATACACCTTTCTCAATTTCATTAAAACTAACAAAAAATCTTTCTCAATTTTGAATTGTTGTGTTTATTTACCCGTCTCTCTCAGAATGCCAGCTCGTTTTATTACTGTTTAATGCCGCCTTCTTGGAAGACTCAATTTCCCTTAGTGGCATTTCTTGAGAATTCAGAATATGCTCAAGAAGCTTCCCTTCGCCTAAGGGAGAAAAAAGAAGGTTAATTATGTTCAATATATTTCTTTCTTTTCCTTTTCAGATATTTCATTGTTATATAATACTCACCGAGGATAGTAAAAATAATTTTTAGATTTTAAAATACAGATTTACTTCAGGTAAGACAAGTCACTAAAAATCACTCACATTAATCTATGTTACTATGATTGCTTTACATTAGCAAAGTCAGAAAACAGACAGTTTTCAGTGACAGCAATTAACAGTCACAGAGAAACGTTCTGTCCATAATGTCATAGATTTGATCTTCTTCCTTTGTCTTGTTTCATTTATTCCCAAACCCAGGGAACAATAGGAATATGTAACAGCTTTGTAAAAAAGAGATAGAACCAGCAGTCTGAGAAGGATCTCATGAAGACATAAAGAGGCATTTTGTCCATGATAGAGTACAATGGCTGGATCTTTTAAGTATTCTTCCTCAATCTTAGCTCCACCAGCAATTCTAAACACAACCAGCTAAAAAAAGATGCTTTATTTTTCGATGGAATCTCCAAAACTGCATTTCATGTCACTAAACTGATCAAAAGCAGTAAAAGAAAACTACTTCCTTTGCTTTACACATGCTATTTTCATTACAATGGCCTAGAGACCCTATGAATGCATGTGTTTGGGAAAAAAATATTCAATTCAACCAATAATAATTACTAAGTTACTGAGCAGATCCCAAGTTTGTCATTATTCTATATAATCTTCCTTAAACCTGACAATGAAAGGTCACTCAATTTTTCATCTGAGAAAACATTTCGGCAAGCAATCGTGTCAAGACACTATAGGTTAGATCAGTACTGTTGTTAAGTCTTCAGTTAGTTAAGATTCATTTATCCACAAAATTAACCCTTCCCAAACATACTTTCAAATATTCTGAATACATGTATTTAAGCACCAGCAACCCAACAGCTCAGAAGAGGTGAGGACCACACAAGGTAATCCCCAGGCCATACTACAATGCCAGTGGGGGGCAGGAGTGTCTTTCTTACAATACCTTCACATGTGGATTTAGGAACATTTTCCTTTTCTGTTACAGGGTTTTCTTTCTTTGAGATTTTCACATTTTTTGACACAGGTTCTGGAGCACATCTCCGTGGAACTGGTGTCTTTAGAGGAGATTTTTGTGTATGAATGCCACGATTTTGAAATTGGCTTGAATATGCTTCAGGGAAAAAAAAAAAGACATTATTTAAAGGTTAACAATTTTCTTCACAGGAAAACAAATCTAGAAAAAAAAATTATGCCAACATTATGAATTTTTCACAAAAAATTCAAAACATTACACAACTAGTTAAAAAAGTAAGCAGGAAGAAAGTTTCACACTTACAAGTGCTATTACAAAGGGATCAAAAAACCACCCAACCATAGTATAAGCTACTTCATGACAAGCTTCTGCATAGATTATTTCTCAGTAAGATTATTTTAGGTTAAAGCTAGGCCTCTCTTGGTACAGAGTAAGCAGTCAATAAACATCAAACTCTCCCTTTAGTTTAAACTGGAACGTTTCAGAATAAGTGGTATACGTTACATAGCATGTTAGGCAATAAAATTAGGGTGATGTGATGTACAATCCAATATTAACAGAAACAAAATTAATGCAAAACTAACACTGGAAGGAAGATACTAAGAATTTGTCTTCACCTTGGGCAGCAAGTGGACCACTGGTAGGAAACAAACCCCTCTGCCACGAAGATACGTCGTTAGTAAGCGATTGCTGTTCTGGCTTCTCAGATTGTTTCGGCACGAGACTGGCGGAAGGTACGTGAATTTGCCGTAAGCCACTCGTGCTGACTGCAGAGCTAACGAGATGAGACTAAGAGACAAAATTACAAACTATTTCTGACATATGCATGAGTTTCCCCAAGTAAAACTCTAAACAGGAATACTTGCCATGTAATCATATTAACCAGATTTTGACATGCTATTTGAGAGAAAAGTAATTTACAACAACCTCAGAACACAGACATGCTTGGATATCCTTCTGCCTTCCTAAAAGCACACAGAACTCTCTGAAGAAACAATTTATAACTGTTCTTAGATTTTTAATCTGACTGGCAACTTATTAAATGAAAGTTTCCTCATTTACCAAAGGTCTAAACAATTTCTTAGCGGGAACAAGAACGTTTCAAAATTTTTGCATTTTCTTTCCACAGACACAAAAATTATGGGGGGGAGGGCAGAAGATATCTGGGACAGAACCAGAAATAAAACTCTTCCCAAAAAGCTCTAAGCTCATGTGCTAGCCACTGGATCTTTCTTTCTAATACTAAAACATAATCCAAATTTTTATACCATTAACACTGAGACACAGAAGAAATGATTAAGCCAAAGCTTCTGCATTGTTACTTTGATACCTGGATATTCATTTGTTGCTCCTGTAACTTTTCCAAATGCTGAATCCGTTGCACCATGAAAGCATTCATTTGTTTTTCAAGCTCACTGACTCTTTCATGACAGTGAGGCTTCTCATGTTGAGCCTTTGTATTTGTTTGCTGTTCAGCAACACGCTGCAGTTGTCTGTCTGTCTCCTGGAGTTTATGAATTAAAGCTGAAACTGAGTTAACTTTTGCTTCCAAATCATTTTGAACCTGTAAGAGGGGAAAAAAAAAAAGAAGTGCAGAAGACGTGCAAGGATGAAGAGAACAAAACATCCTTCCCATCAATACAGAATTATTTGCTTCCCAAAAGAAACAATTAAAATCCTAGTTAGCCCTAAAGTTTGGTGGTTTAGCAATACTATGAAATCCTTCTAAAGATTTATCTAAAAGATAAATCAAATAGTCTCTGCCCATTTGCCCATTTAGCCAAATTAAAGTGAGTTCTCTCTGAGTTCTTACACTGGTCAGTAAGCCTGCCATGACTAACACACGGAAAAGAGTAAGCAACCGCATTCAGTGTCTGCCACATTCAGAATTGTCTACCAACAAGCCTGCCCCCTCTGCTTCCGCAACTACCTCCCAGGTTCCGTTACACAACAGATATGAAGCTCTGCAAGTGGAACCAACCCCCAGGGAGGATGACGATACACACACGCTAGTATCCTTCCCTAGGACCACGCATATCATCAAGACATCCTCAGTTAAGAAGAAAAGGCGGGTGATTGTTTTAGGAGACTCCCTTTTGAGGGGTGTGGAGGGCCAGATTTGTAGACCTGACCCTTTACATAGGGAGGTCTGCTCCCTTCCTGGGGCAACAATTAGGGATGTGATAAAAAAACTCCCGTCTATAGTCAGGCCCACCGATTACTACCCTCTTCTTATTTTCCAAGTTGGTATGCATGACATTAGGAAAAGAAACATCCGGACTATTAAGAAGGATCTCAGTGTTTTGGGAAGAATGTTGAAGGGATTGGGGGCCCAAGTAATATTCTCTTCTATCATACCGACTCTGGGACATGACACGGGATGGAAAACAAAGATCGAGGATTTAAATAATTGGCTACAAAAGTGGTGTGAGGAAAACAACCTAGGCTTCTTTAACCACGGGCTGACCTTAATGCCAGATCTTCTATCTAGGGATGGGGCGGGTTTGTCTCCACGGGGCAAAAGGCTGCTTGCTACAGAACTCGCTGGGATCATCAACAGGGCTTTAAACTAGATGTGAAGGGGGTGGGGGGTATTGTCAGACTTAGAGGATTAACAGCCGAGGACGGCCCTCCATTGTCTGATGAAAGGAGTGTAGGCAGGTGCCTTCGGCCTGCTGCCTCAGTGATAGTAGGGGGTGATATGTGTAGTCAGGAGCAACGCACAAGTTGCTTAGAGGTAAAAGAGAATCCCAAAAATAACAGCTCAGGTAATAAAACTTCCCCCCCTAGGGGTGCAGTGGGGTCAAAAGCCCAACTTACGTGCTTCTATACGAACGCACGCAGTATGGGCAATAAACAAGAGGAACTGGAAGCTCTTGTTATCCGGGGAAACTATGACATAGTTGCCATCACTGAAACATGGTGGGATGACTCGTATAACTGGAGTGCTA